AATGTAATGTAATGTATTTTCATTTAATTAATATAATATAATATAATAGTATTTAACTTAATATTAATAATTTTAAATGAATGCAAATCAATACATTTAAAATTTAATTTAGAAAATATTTCACTAATATGATATAATATAATATAATGTAAATTAATATAATATCATGTAACTTATTAATAATTCTAAATGAAAGCAAATTAATATATTTAAATTTTAATTTAGAAAAGAATAATATAATATAATATAATATAATATCTTGCAGACACTAGTGATTATTACGGTGTTGAGCATCACTCTTGTCATACAGTCATTCCCGCCCCCTCGTCTGCGTTTCATTGGTTTCGTCCAAACTTGCTTCAGTTCTTCCAGTCCGATGGGGTTTATTCAAGTGCTTGTGATCATAGTGTGTTCACAGATGGCCTGCCGGACAAGTTTTCAATGAATATTCTAGGTCTTTACAGTCAGATGCCCAAATTCACGGCAATTATGGATATAATTCGTTTGTTATGGATAATACGGATTGTGTGGGCTGTTGAAGGTAAGAGCATGTGTCTGTGTCAAGCGTGCGTTCTTTGAAATGTCTGTTACTTTTTACGCTACATGATGCTGATGATATTGATTCAATTAAGATGATACTTTTTTTTAATAAAGTCGCCGATACTAGTGTTTTACAGTCATGTCATATTATCTCAAGTTAAAGGCTTTCGTTTCCATTTAAGTGCACCGAAAACAGGTGCACTGCAACTGTCTGTGGGTATAAATGAGTTAGAATGGCTTTCCTTTGGTCAACTGTTATTCTCCATTTACATCAACACAACATAAACTGTTAAATCAGAGCAAAAGTTAAAGGGATTGTTCTCCAAAAAATTTATTCTTTCATCATTTATTCACCCTCATGCTGTTCCAAACTTGCACGATTTTATTTCTGTGTAACACAAAAGAAGATGTTAGGCAGTCTATTCCATTCACTTCCATCAAAGTAAATGGTGAGTGAGGCTCATTCTGCCTTACATCTCCTTTTGTGTTTCACAGAAGAAAGAAAGTCATACAGATTTGGAACAGCACAAGGGTGTAAATGATATCTCATTATCAAGTCTCTCAGTCTCTCTCACAGAATGATCTTTAGTAACATTTGAGAACATATAGGCTTAAATCTAGTGAGCCGTCTTGTAACTAGAAAGCATTTTCTGGTATTATAAACTTATAAGAATGCAAATAGATGCTTAATATGTGCCCAGAATGCTGTCTAGCTAGGTTTTGAAAGCCAAAGAGTAGTATTGTAATTGAAAATAGATTAAAAATATGTAGTCCTTTCCATAGTAGGCTACATTTTATCTGTCAAGGCAAGCTACAGTCTTTCTGTTAGTACACATGGACTCGCAATGTAGAGGGTTGTCCTAGCTACACTCCCCCATCCCTCTTTATTAGGACCAAGACCTGCCTCTGGCATCTGTGACATTTTTCCGAGCCTTTACATAAGCACGGCAAACCTGACCAATTTCAGTCACGTCAGACAGCGCTGGCTCTGCGGCCTGTCAGCTTTGCAGAGAAACAGACGTAATAAACTGACGTAATAAACTGTCTCTGAATCAATGAATTTATGGGTGATGGGAAACTGGGAGTATGGAGAACTGGATTCCATATTCCTCTGATGAAATGACAAGATTTTGTCCACAGGCTTGAGAGGGGGTCAAAATGGTGAAATTATCAGGTATCCAAGAGGGACTTGCCATCTGCTTGACAATTTAATTATCCATCTGTCTCGCTGTCTTGTTGAGTGATCATTTTGAATAAAATGAGGTGAAATGGATTGTCCTCTTAATGTTAATTATTAGCCAGTTTGATGAGCGCGTCATATTGATTTAAATTCATGCTATTTTTGAGTGCAGAGATGAGGGTACAAAACAAATTTGGTTTGTAAACACTCAGAATCTCATTTTACAAAATGTCAAAGTGTCAGCTGTTATCAAGGAGCAATATCTCTCTAACCACCACACATACGTGGGCAGACTTTTTTAAAATGGAGAGCATAAGCAGGGTATAGTGGTCAGTGTGAAGAGTTTAAAGTAGCAATCCATCTGTTATTATGAATGTTTTTAGGACAAGGAAATAAGCAGCACACAGGACAGGATGATACTCTGTAGCTTCTCTCCAATTTCATTTTCAGTAGTCAAATAATTGAGATGTAAGATGGTATGAGTTGCATTTTTATGAAACGAGAGCTAGTCCACATTGTGATTCAAGAGACACAAAAGAAGCACCAACTTCAGATACCCGAATGTTACCCCAATTGATTGCACAGATACTATTTAAACTGAACTGAGCTGGATGATGACATCACATCACTTTACTATTGTCATTTTGCATTAATGACGCACTATTTTCCTAATGAATGCTGTACAGTTGCTTTGACACAATCTGTATTGTTAAAAGCGCTATATAAATAAAGGTGACTTGACTTAGGATTGTAATTCTATCCCTCATTAAAGCCGTTAAGTACACAGTCTTGTACCTTTGTCTTTTTGTCTGCTTTTCAAAAACTTTTTTTAGGGCTGCACGATAAATCGCATGCGATATTTAACGCGCATCTTGTCAGTAAAGCCATTCTGTAATCAGCGGTAAATCTCCATCACCTGCGGGCTTTCACATGGAGCAGCATTAACTACACAGAGCCGTTGTTCACTGACA